AATTGTTCTATGGCCCCACATGGGCCCCACCCCCTACCTTTGAAACCACTTATGTAGTAGATGTTAGCAGTGAACCACAACAAGTGTCTGGAGAAATGACGAGAAAGAAGGGGAAACACATCACACTCTGTGTGTGTGTGTGTGTGTGTGTGTGTGTGTGTGTTCTCTCCGTCTGACCCCGGCACTAAGGGACGCGTTTATGGCGGTTTTTCTTTTTAACGAGCAGCGATAGCGCGTCTCATCTGCTCTACGACACCCCCCCCCCCCGCCGCGCCTGCTGCTGCTGCTGCCGCTGCTGCTGCTGCTGCTGCTGCTGCTCCAACTTCTTATCTGCAGTTTTTTTTCATCCTCTTCCTTGAGGCGTGAGCGCCGCCAAAAGGTTTAGGATGAGCCGTATTAATAAAGATCTGTTCCCGGCATGGATCATTAACCCGGGGGAAGTCCGGCTCAGATAGACGGAGGGGACGCGGTACTGGTGCTTGTTTATGGTCTGATAATGTCTCAGAGATAAACAACAGAGGTTTAAAGGTTCAGTTCGGAGAAATCACAGCGAAGCAGGAGAACGGAGACGGACAGCTGGGTTTCTGACCTTGTCTCTGAAAGAATGAGTTTGAATGAATGAATGAATGTTGGCCATCTTTAGGTGAAGTATTGCAACTATAAACAGGTGCTAAAAGTGTGTAAAACCCATGGCCCACGGGCCAAATACAGCCCACCAAGTGACTTCATGTGGCCCAGAGGAGCTCAAAAAGTGTTTGATAATAAAGACCACTCTGCTGAGTTTCTGAACTTGAACATTTGAGTTTTTCATTACACAGAGCAATGTACACTATTTATAAATAATATAAATAATGATCAATTGCAGAAACATACAGTACATTGGTACCATCTACTGAATAAAAATGGCGGACAAAGATATTGTACATTTAGAATTTCTCCATAATTTCTTGAAAGGCAGTTTCACGTCAAAATAAGAGAAACAGCTTCAAATGAGTTTGTAGATGTAGCTAAGGAGGAGATGGTTGGTGGCCATGGTTGGTGGCCATGGTTGGTGGCCATGGTTGGTGGCCATGGTTGGTGTACCAGTTGACGGCTAGTTTTCTTTCATGTGTGTCTTCCCGCCGCAGTCAGCAGCTTCATTCCTACTCCATTCACTGCGACTCCAACTGGCACAGAGGCAGAAACGCCAGAGGCAAAAATCACAAATCCTGCACAAGTGAAACCACAACTATCTGCATGTCAAGATATCAAAAGGAGAAAACGGGGGCAAAACACATTTGGCTTATTACTTCACGCTTTGTATTCATGCACCGATGTGTCTGCAAACGACTGTCAGCGTTAGAAGGAAGCATTTCTTTTCCTTTCTGTGTCTAAGTCTCCAGGACAAAGTTTGCACCTGGCCCTGCTCCTGCAGACAGGTGCTGCTCTGCAGGGGTTTTGTTGCTCTATTTTTGCCACTATTTGTTCAGAGATTAAGAGCCATAATTGGAGGTAATGCACGACATTAGTCATATCAGTGCACACACACACACACACACACACACACACACAGAGTCAGACACAAAAGGTCTTCATGAAAGTTCGTCTGTGCTGGAGGCTAACATTTATGTGGTGATCAGCAAACACCGTTTCCTCCCCTCTGTTCCAGCTTTGAGGTTACACTCTTGGTTTTTTTTTTTTTTTTGTGTCAGTTGTCATGAGGCCCCTCACAGCTGGCGGCGTCTCTGAAAGGTGCCACTCCGCAGGGAAAGTCCAGGACAACAAATCGGTGAGTGAGTGCCGCCGCCCTCCCCTGCTCCTCCTTATTCTTCTCCCTCCATCTATCAGATTTCCTGCAAAAGCAGAAGAGGTGGCTGTGGAGAACTACAAACACTACATCTATCAGAATCAAACTCCCGACTATCAGACCTGGCACAGACACACTCCTACCCAAACAAAGACACCCGTCACCACTCCTCCTCCTCCTTCTTCTCCACCGCCGACTTAAACTGTCGCAATTTTACAACTGTCATTCCAGTTAAGAGCAGACAAACTGTTGTTGATTGTTGAGACAGTAAAAGGCAGAGACACGAGACCTGGAGCAGGTGTGTGGTTAATGTGTGACTACATGAGGATGAGGAAGAGGAGGATGATGAGGAGGAGGTGGTGGAGTAGAAGGTAGAGGCGAAATTGACCTAGAGGAGAAGGGGCAGCTGAGAAGGAGGATGGAGGGGGAGAAAGAACGTCAGAAGACAGTGGTATGAGGAGGTGGAGGGGGAGGAGGGGGAGGGGGGGGGGGGGGG